TCTTTCTTTCTTTCTTTCTTTCTTTCTTTCTTTCTTTCTTTCTTTCTCTCTCTCTCTCTCTCTCTCTTTCTCTCTCTTTCTCTCTCTTTCCTCCCTTATTCCAAACCCTTGATTTTTTATGACTGTATTGCTGCTGCTGTTTTGCTCTTTTTAGCTCTTAATTTGCTGTGGGTTTGCCCAGTTAATCGGAAGGATTTCCCATTGCAATAAGTGAGCTTGACTCCTGAATAAAAGGGCTGTCTGAGTTCTTTTTTACAAGGGCTGTTTTTGTAGATTCCTGTTTACTGCAACAAATCCATGTTCTAAAGAGCTCATGCCTGGGTCTATAGATATAGGATTGCAGTCAAAGTTTATAAATTCTAGGAGTTAAGTTGGATTTTGTAGATGTGTCTTTGGTGCTATTCTTTTTTTTTTTTTTAGTTTAACCAGGTCCTCTTGAGATGCAATAAGGCATCTGCACTTTTATATGGCCTTTTACAGTTGGAAGGAACCTCAAAAGATCATCTAGTTCAGCCTTCTGCACTATGCAGAGGAATTGTTTAAATCATCTATGAGGATTTCTGGCTGTTTACTTAGAAGTAAGCTCAGATGCTCTGTCAAGTTAGGTGACTGTAGGATTGTATCTGGGACCTTCAGACTCTTCCTTTGGAAAATGAAAAGAAAATTCATAATCGATTAAGATACAAAATGAAAGTTCATAGCTTCCTGTCAACTTTATTTTTATAATATCTGGAACAATTGGAATGTTTTAATTTAAAAAAAAAAAAAAGACTAATCCTAGAAGTGAACTTTCAGGTAAGCAGGCTTTCCTGAAACGTTCTGTTTTGCATTACATTGGGCCCAAATAAAGTATTTAAAAAAAAAAATGCAAAGAGGCACGCGGATGTTTTTAGCACAGTTTGCTCGGCATGCTTGTTGCTTGTAATTGAGTGGCAAACTGCCAAGGTAGAAGCCCGTTTGAGGCTGGCACCAAGCGCTCTTGCGGTTGTCTGCATAAACTTTTGGCTGGCAGCAGGCTCACCCTCTGCTAGATAAATAGGCTGGCATTGTGGAAAAGAGGGAGAGAGAGTGGGGGGGGGGGGGGGAAACACCAGAAATGTGGATGCAGTCAAAGGGAGGAGAAATAAAATTCCACAAAGCCACTTCATATCTCTTCTGACAATTAATGGAGCAAAAATAGAGATTACAGAGAGGTTGTCTGCACTGATTACACCCTAATGTTAGGGAAAGGCGGTAAGTTGGGCATGGCTCAGAAAGATCCTCTTACAAACTCACCTACCTTTCTCATCCTTACTCATCCCCCTCAAAAAAAAGGACAACGATTGCTTTGTTCTCAGAATCTGATTAAGCTTGCCCAATTTAAATGTCGTCCTTGAAAAACATTGGGTGACCCGTCTTTGATACTATTGTATGTACATTGTGAGTTCTTTGGCATAAGGGACCGTGCTGAGGAAGGATATGAGAACTGGGACTGCCTCTGCCAAGTTTATCCAGTAGGAAGGTTGGAAGATTACAGTTAGATGAAACAGCTTGAAAAGGAAGTGTTGATCTGTCCTAAGAAACAAGTTAGGGGTTATCAAGTTCCCAACGATTGGTCACATTGTTGTATGACCAGAAAAAGGATCCAGAAATGAGGTAATGCGCTCCGGGGATGAGCTAATTTTCTTGACAAGTTGGGATTAGGAAAAATGGCGATGTTTATTGAATGCAGGAAGTCCTCAATTTATGACCGTAATTGACCCCGAAATTGCTAAGTGAGAAATGTGTTAAAGTGAGTTATATTTATATAATTTATATTTTGCAACTGTCATAAGTATGAGTCAGTTGCCAAGCCTCGCAGCTGAGAGGATGCTGTAACAGTCGTAAGTGTGAAAAAGGGTCATAAGTCAACATTTTTTCAGTGCCGTTGCAACTTTGAATGGTCACTAAACAAATTGTTGTAAGTGAATTGTAAGTCGAGGACTGTCTGCATTGGGTGGTAATTTTGGTAGCTGTAGGAGCCATCTTGAATGCATCGATTGGGGGAACAAGTTTATTTCCATCCCTTTATTTTCTTTAAAAGGAGGTGAGTGGGTAGCATTTATTCTGTTGGTCAGTTGCACAAAGTCTTTTAATGTATCTTGCCAAGGTGTCAATTGAGTTTTGCAGAATGGAGTTTCACAAACTCTACTGTATACATCCTCACTGGGACTTCTTGACGGCCTTGATCTCATGGCCTGTTGTGACATTTCCATGTTGTAGATGAGTCCTCAAGATCTGGCTTAGATATACCATTTATCCATGCTTCCCTTCTCACCCCCTTGTGAAGTGAGATTGCTTGCAAACAATTATATGTGGGTTAGCATCTTGCGGCCTACAGGATTATGGAGAGAGGTGAACAGGTAACCGAAGATGGGAGATTTTAAAGCCAGACAGGCCTAAATATAGCAAAGGCAGTTGCTGCTAGACTACAGTTCCCAGCATCCTCGTCATTGGCAGTGTTTGCAAGAGTTGTAGTTCATTAAGACAGCTGATCTTGAAACAAGTTTGTGATATGTGTTTACTGTACACTGTTGTGGCCTTGTGAACTTTCTGTTGTGACTTGGGCAGGAGAAGTGTTGCAGTTGATCAAGCAACTCTGCCTCAGGGATTGGAAGATCTGGATCTTCTGGTAATTCCTTGTGTGATTTAACAGTAGATCACAAAGAATTTCTGGCTAGCTATAGCAACAAGGCTGCTGTGATGAAGAGAATTTGGGGAGGAGATTTCTGTGTTTGTGTGAGAGAGGCAAAGGATACCGATTTTTAATTTTGAGGCACTCGAGGAGGTACCTTGTCCTGATTGGATTCACACGTCGTGGTTTGCTAAAAAGTAGGATTTATTGCATTAATCACAGTTGACTGAGATTCACCCCACAGCTGAAACGAAATGAATGCAAAGCAAGAGAAGAGGTCAAGTTCTCCTTATGCTGAGCTACTACTGGTAGGTGGTCTTGGGGAATCTTCTATGTAAAAATCTGTGTAGATTCCTTAAGGTTCCACCTAAATTGAGCTGAGGGCCATCTAAGATCAGATGGTATCCCTGCAACTAACTCCAAGGGTCTTCAAACTTGGCAAGTTTAAGACTTCAACTCCCAGAATTCCTGAGCTAACGTAACTGAAGGAGGAATTCTGGGAGTTGAAGTCCACAAGACTTAAAGCTGTCAAGTTTGAAGACAACTGAACCTAACTTATTTGGTAATGGATAACCCAAGGTTTACTTCGATGAGCTCTGCAGGGGAAAGAGACGGGAACCTCAAGGGATCTTCATCTCATCTTGTGCTTCTTTCCCCTCTGTCCAGTTCTTCTGTCTTGATCTCTGTTGGCTGCTGAGGAACTTTCCAATCCCAAACATTTGTGCTTGGAATATGAAATATGAATGTATGAAAATATACCAAAAAAGGCATAACTTTCTCACATCTTTGATAGCTTTATCGGTCAAGTGGTGCTCCTGTAGTTTTTGCCTCACAAATAGAGAGGCAGGGCACGCCTGACAGAGAATGGGCTGGCTCAGGGTTGCCTAGACCCACATTTTAGCTGTTATATTGGTTTACAGATGAGTAGGAGGAGGAAAAGGGATATTATCCATTTAGTTGTGTCTGACTCTTGGCGATACTATGGGCCAGGTTTCCCCACATCAGAGGTCTCCAAACTTGGCAACTTTAAGACTTGTGGACTTCAACTCCCAGAATTCTCCAGCTGGCTGGAGAATTCTGGGAGTTGAAGTCCACAAGTCTTAAAAGTTGCCAAGTTTGGGGATCCTTGCCCCACATCTTCAGCTTTTGCGCTACTATGAGTTTTTCTATGCTCTGGCTGGGCCCCCTTTGATGATGTCCAGCCAAAGTGTTCTTGGGCGGCCTAGTACTGCCAACTCTTCCAAACCTCGTTTCTTTCTCCAGTCAGTTCCTTCCCATGATATGGCCAACATTGAGATACAATTTTGTGATTTTTCCTTCTAGTGACATATCTGGTGTATCTCCATTACTTGTTTGTTAGTCACCTTTGCTGTCCAAGGCCTACATGTAAAAGTGGTTAAAACTTTGGAGGTTTTAAGGAATACCTTTCTTTCCCCCCCCCACCCCCGGCCCTTTTTTTTTTAGCAACAGTTGTCTCTGAACAGACATTTGAAAAGTGTGGCCAGTAGCCAGTCACACTGAGGAAAAATAATAGCAGAAGGGGGCTATCCATTTTTGTTTGTGGTAAAGATGCTAGGATAAAATCTAGGAGCAGGTGTTTAAACCTCCCTCCTGCTTCTCAACTTAGAGAGCAATATTTATTCAGTAATGAATGGTGCGTGTAAACAGTCAAAAGAAACCACAAACCTTGACAATGCCGGGTTGTTGTTGTTTTTTTTTTTTGAAAGGAAAAGTTCTGCATATTGGCTAATGGGAAGTGATTAATAGAGCCAGTCGGAAGTGTAAAAAAAAGCAAAGAAGCGTCCGGAGGACTCTTTCTCTTCCTCAAAACCCATTTGGCAGTGGAGCCCTGAATAGGAGACAAAAATAATTCATAAGTCTGTCACTGCAGGTGGCTATTATAACCTCTGACTCTCATCAAACTTCCTGTTTAATCAAGGCCATTGTGAGGAGAGCGAGTAAGGAAATTGTCTGTCTTTATTCTCTTGCAAATTTTGCAAGGGGGTCTCACTTTTTCCACCCTGGGTGCTTGAAACCCAAAGTGTGTTGCTAAAGAAATGGTTTGAATTCAGAGGAACAGTTTTCCTTTTTCCCCGCATGGGAAGAATTCTGGTTGGTGTAGTAGTTAAGACTGTTTTGAAGATTCAAAGTTCATTTCCGGAGCCGTTTTTTCTTTTTTTTATAGAGCACTATATTAACCATATGGAGGAAGAGCTCTTCCAAGGCTGTATCAATGAAGGCCTGTAGCAGTTAGCTCACACGTTTTTAACTATGCCCGACACCAGTTATGTCCAAATGGTGTGGATTTAATCAACTCATTGATGCAAAAGTAGCATTTGGTGTGCGTCAAAAGTGAACATGGAGGAAAAAAGTTAAGATTTCTAAGAGGGAGAGACGTTGAGGGGGTTTCAGAAAAGGCAAAGCTGTGGCTGCAATCAAAGCTGGCCTTTTGATTTTCTTTTTGGAAAGATAGCTTTTGAAGACCCTTGATTTCCAGAACTTCAGAAGCGGACACATAGCAAATCTGAAAAATTGTTGAGGTGTTATATTATTTTCAAGACAGGGCATTTGAACCCCATTGTGCAGCTACGCTCTTGAGCTTAGCAGTTCCAAACTTTCAAACATTGTTTCTCAATTTCAGGGATTTTAAGATGTGCGGATTTCATGGCTGGCTGGGGAATTCTGGAAGTCCACATACCTTAAAGTTGCGGAAGTTGAGAAACAGTGTTTTAAAGTAAATGCATTTGTGACTTCATGTGTGCATGAGATTATTATTTACCTCTCTCTTTCTTTCTCTGTCTCTCTCATCTATCTACTATCTCTCTCTCTCTCTCTCTCTCTCTCTCTCTCTCTCTCTCTCTCTCTCTCTATATATATATA